CCAAACCCCCGAAACCCCCGCCCAGGTGGGTTTTTTCCCCCCGCTTAAGCTGACCTGAAGTTTTCCCCCCCCCCCCCCTTGGCCCCCCCTTTTCCCCAAAAAACGGGCCCCCGTTTCTGGCAAAGTTTTAAAGAAACCAGCTGTCCCATTCCCCTTGTGTTTTTAAAGGCAGGGGGGAAAAAAGATCTTAGACACTTGACGTTTTTCACTTCAGTTTTTTCAGAGAAACAAAAAAATGTTTGGGGGGAAATAACTTTTTTGGGGGCTATTTGTTTTGGAGCAGAGCCCCCCCCCGGGTTGTGTGAAAGGGCAGAGGCCCAGTAGGGGAATTTTCATGTTCAAAAATTTTCTTATCTGTGGAAACAGAAAAACCGTTTTCAAATTGACTTTAAAATTTGCGTTTTTTTCCAAAACAGCGAAGACAAAAAATTTTCGATTTTTTTTATCTTGGGGTTGTTGGCCTGTTTTCCAATTTCCTCAGGGGGCCAGTTCAGGGTAAAAAAACCCCGGATAAATTTTTTTTTAAAGGGTGACTTAGAGGGCCTTATTAACTGGGTTTCGAAGCCCTTAAAAATTGTATACAGATACAGCTGGACTCAAGTAGAACTTACTGCCCTACAAACAAAATGTTAAATTATTAACAACAAAGTCTTGGCGATTTTCCCGGGGCGAAGAGAGCTCTAAATCCCACGAAAAAAGGTGAGCCCGAAGACAGTTTTGACTTTTTCCCCAAGATTACCCTGAACCTTTTTTCACCAAGGGGAAATTCCCACCCCATCTTTTTGAAAATGAAAGTGGGTTTTGCCCTTTTTATGCTTCTTGGGAAAACCTCAGCCTCAGAAAGGTATGTAACGGCACCAAATACATCGTTACGGGATTGCTTGAAAATATCATAGGGGCCGGGTTGCTGGGGGAATTTTTAAAAGGGAAACAAACTTTTTTATTCCTCGCATCCCTAAAAAACCAAGGGAGGGAACTTTTCCCCCTGGGAATTTGACTGAGGCAATTCCCTCAAAGACCCCCCTTTTGCGATAACGCCCAAAAAGGGGCCCAAGGAAAACGCTAAAAAAGTTGGGGAAATTTTTTTTGGGGACGGCCATTTTTTCCCCCCCACCCCAAATTATTATGGGGCGAAAAGGGCAGGGTTGGGGAAAAATAAAGCGTTTAGGTTTTGGGCTTTGGTTTATTGGTTTGGAGGGGTTTAATGTTTTTTACCCAGAAGTACTGGCAGATAATTGTTAAAGGATTTTTTTTTATAAATTTTGGGTTTGGGAAATTGGATTTCCCTGACATTTTTTTTTTTTTAAACTTTACAAAAAAGAAGTATAAACTTTTTCATTTTTTATTTTTTAACACTCCCAATCCAAACTGTTCTCCTTTTACTCTTAAATGGTTCTATACTTCTCAAAAAATTTGTATCCTGTAAATAATTGTACATTATTCTAAGTAGGTATCTATATTTTATACCCACCATACCAATATGCCATACTTATAAACACATCAACTTATAATTTATATGCTATGTGTTCTGATTCTTAGAGTTAGTCCTTATTAGTATTACGGGCACTTTGTTAACAGTTTTGACAGATGTCCTGCACATATTCGAAGCATTTTTTAACTATTACTATTTCTATCGTAATGTTGTGTAAATTTGATTATAATTCTAATTGCAATTCTAATATTTGAAAATGCTGTCTTTAAATTTGACCCAATAAAGTTAGAAAGCGAAAACGTGGGTGTCAGCGATAGTAAATAATTATTGTCGTCCGGAGGACGGGTACCCTGCTATTAAGATAAAGGAGAGCTGTTTAGTCTTCCAATAACTCAATAAGTTGTATTCATCCTTCGTTATCTTCAGCTGGATCATCCCAGTTTCATCAGTTTTAATTAATTCAAGTTTTATTTAACTGTTACTTTTTACTTTGAGTCCTATTCATTATGTAGAGATAGTCAATACCTAAGAAATTAAAAATTGGCCTATTTAAATCAAATTTGACAATAAGATATATGACAAGAATTGGGCAAAAAGGTGAATTTTTTGCAATTTTAGCCAAATGAAGTCGAAAAACCTTCAACAAGTGTCCCAATAGTCTTCTTTAGTGAATATAAGACAACGATTAAAAGATGAGACCCATACCCCTTGGGAACCCTAAAAGCTGAGTAGGCGGGTTTATTAACGACCGGTGAAAATGTGGTTCGGGAAAAATATGGCGAAATTACCCTAAACCCACCACTTTAGCCCGGTCATAATAATCCCGAGTAAGGTATATTGGTTATATGTCTAATGTTATATGTAGTCAAATGGATTCATTAATTAATTTGGTTACATATCAAGTTAGTAATGTAATCCGAGTATAAACTATTGATGAACAGGTTTTTAAAACTAAATATTATCCGCATTGAATTAATTTTTCATCGATTACATTCAAATTGTTCACCATTTTATTATACTTGATTGGTGTTATTGGTATTTGGGTTCCTCCCCCTATCAAGGGTTTCCTAAAAAAAGTGCGATGAGATTGGATTTTGAGACTAAAAATGCGATTTCCCCCCCCCCCCCCCCCCCCAGACTGCAAGATTTCTTGCCCCACAAATTACTTTGTATTTAAAAAGATGTCCCTTTGTAAGCGAAATTGTAAGTATGTCGCTTTATGTCGCTCGATGTTTATTTCTCAGAATTGTAAGTATGCCGCTGTAATTTGGATCAATACATAACGAAAAATTTACGTGTGTATTTTTATGAAGTATATAAGGTTACATATTGAAAATCTGATATGCCTCACGTAGCGCCCCAGTTTAGGGAACGGCCGCTAAGTAGCTGATCCCGGGTTCGAGTCCCGTCGTCGGTCATTCTTTTGGCAATTATTAATTATTTTACTAAAATTATCACCAGAGCATCTTGTAATATACTTTATCTGATAAATTATACAGTTCGTACTTCAGCTAGAGAAGACTGGCATTTAAGGATTTGTCCGGGGAAGGCCTCGTTCATACTGGAACATATCAAATTATGGTGAACGGAGTTATCTGGTAATATTTGTTTTGTTTATGGCTAGAATTTAGAATGGAATCAATGTGATGAGGATCCAGAGTTACTTACCTGCTAGGATTAATAAGTCAGGTCTACAGTTGAAGAGACCCTTTTTCAAACTTTTAATGAAGAAATATCCACTGTGCCTATGGTAGTGTCAAGTATATTCATTATTCTGAGAAAGTCGACTTATTCGATGAGTCGACTGTAGCCAGGAATAGTACCTTGAGATTTCGACCATTACCGGACCTCCTTTAATGGTAACCATGGTAACTATAGTAACCACTGTGAATCTTGATCTTTTTAACCGATTAATATCGACAACAACTAGTATCCTTTAAGACTTAGTCTTAGACAGTACAGAAAATTAAGCCGTCAGAGTAACACAACCAGTAATAATTCAAAACAATCAATACCAAAAGTTCAATGACCATGAAAAGTCGGCTTGATGATGAAGACGAAAAGGCCAGCAAGTTAAAGAATAGTATGATGGGGCCGTTGCGCGCGACCGAATATGTAGTGCTGAAAGAGGGTGCCGAAATCTCGCAGCTAGACTCGCGATATTGGGGTGAGATTTATACTAAACTCGTCAAAATCTCGCACTAATTGCGCGGCTCAAAGTTGTTATACTTTAACCACGTGATCTCACACCGCACTAAGTTCCGAATTCACAAAATATAAAGTACATTTTTGTGTCGCTTAAAACTTTTAAATTACATTTTTTCTATTTTCTCACACATTTTGTTGTTAGTTTTTTTTCTGTGTTTATTTTAAGATTTTGTGCGATGAGCCTGTCTCGCCATCTCGCATGAATCTTGACCTGGGGTTTCCTCAGATTTTAACATAACACTTTTCCGTTTCCGGTTTCTTTTAAGGTTAATTTTAGATCTGAGCTTATTGAAATGGACACGTGGATATTGTTGAAACGCTGTTACGTAATTAATAATCATAATTCTAGCAGTCTTCATCCGGTCCCTTACAAGACATTGTCACTTACTGATTACCTGGCATGTATTAACAAATAAACAAGTCGTCAATGTTTTGGTGCCTAGTCCATTATAATGTTCATTTACATCAGTACACTGTTAGTAAAGTAAATGGTTCATTTTCCATGAGTACTACCATAAACGGCATAGTGATAGCTAAGATGACCTTACTAAATGTTAGATTCTACAACTAATCAACACACGGCTGTACCACTGTACTACTAGCTGCTGTCAGGTACACAGTGACAAGAAGCCACCTCACTGCAACTGTTATATTGTGTACTGGTGCAGCTGTAGCACCACTGTCAGTACAATTTGAATATGTAAATACCTGTACGTGGGTTTCTGTTAGGTTTGTTGAGTGTCAAATAAAGGTACAGAGATGTTTAAACTCTTCAAATAGTAACATGTGTATTTTAATTTGTGTTTTAACATGGATTTGTTCATCGAACATATAGTGACTGAAATAATGTTCTGTCAGGTTCGTCTAAAATATTGACAGGATTTCTCATAGATTAACAATTCTGTCGGGAGGAGAAAACATGTGAAGCAGTATACAAAAGTTTCTGACCCGTAATGTCGTTGGGTAAAATTTCTGATAATTCCTAAGGTAGAGATTTCATTTTCATTCTATCTGTGTAAAAAATTTGACTGAAAATAGTAAACAGTTATCTCAAAGACCCAAGAATTGTGCTCTTATCATTAAACTAATTTTTCTGGACAACGAATAGTTCTGAAGTCGCATGTTGATTTTGAATTGATTTTATCGAGAAAGGTTTCAAATAATTTGACATATTATGATTATAAGGGTGTCCTGGAATATCGACTGTTATTAAAAGTAACAGTCATTTTGAAATCCGTAATATTGCATTGTGCCTCTCACTGACTAAACTTAACTACGTAACATTGCTTATATTATATATTTACAATTATATTTATAATGATTTATAAACTAACTTTTACTAATAACAATTACTTTACAGGGCAAGAGCCACAGTTGGAGATGATAGTGCAGTTATCAGATGAGATCCACAAGAATGATATCATACTTCTTCTCATCAGATGCCTCCGATTTATTGACTTTGAGGTAAAATATTGAATATTATATCGTATGTATTTATAATACATTTCGTGACCTATGCTATCCTTGTATAATGTATATTGTCCTTGTATTGTAGTTCAATGTTGAGATACAAAAATGTTCATCCGTCCCGTAAAGATGAAAGCTTTAGAGACATGTTTGTTAACTTAAGTTTTATGGGATCGTTTGCACATTACTTTAGCAGCCTAAGCTTAATGGAGATGCGTTTGAAAATATTGGCGTGGATTTCGATGCTAACTGGCCTGGATGGCCAGGAAATATGTCGATGGTCGAATATGGCATCATTATAATATTTTGGCCTTTTAGAATACTTTGTGGTGAATGTAAATCAAGTTATGGTCTTAGCTTAAGTGTTGTTAAACTCTCAAACCAGATATTGTTGGTCCTACATATTTTATATAGTATAATATAATTTAGTATATCAGGTCGATGATATATATTATATATACGAAATTCACTTTTACAAAGCCTTTTCGTTGCTCCTAATGTTCTCCCCTTCAAGATAATGACCGTTTTAACCATGACTCAGGACTCTGTTTTACATCCATTGTTTGAACATATAATGGGTTTTTTGTTTACCATTTACGTGCTTCCAGTTACAAACAATAAGTTTAGCAGAATTGAAATAATAACTGTCACTACATAACTTCTTCGCGTGTTCACTCATAATTTCACGATTAAAAGTCTTTGTATTGATGAAATTTAAAACATAACTGTACTCGTAATGACAATAAACATTCGTAATAACTGAACCTAGGTACTATTTGTCCCAAAACAATTCTACATAAAATATATAAGCAAGGTTATAATCTAAGAAAATATTTTCTAAGTTCCACTATTTCAGTCCTCAAATAATCCACGTTTTAACACACTTTTATGTAAGTCATGGTGTTCTGCTGGTTAAAACTGTAAACAAAACGTGCATCAGTCAAAAGCACTTTTCAGCTTTACCACCCTTCCATCCACAGGTTACTCCTTTGCATTGAGCGCTCAAAAAGCACATCATCTTAGCATCGTCGTGGTTCATCTCTTCCGAGTAGATTGTAGTAGGCCGTATATTGTTATGTGCATCCCAGCAGTACTCGCCATGCAAGAGGTGGCAGTCATTTAAGGACGTTGAACCTGGTTTAGAGACCCTATGTTTAGGGCAGTTTGCACATTCCAGCGGGGAACTCTTGTACTGGTTAGCCGGGCAAGGTCCCTCCTTGCTGAGGCAGGGTTTGAAGGCGGAAGTGGCCCATATGGCACTTACACGTGGTCCATGTGTGTCGTCTTTGAGGAAACACGATCCCTTCTTAATTCCAGTGTTGTAGTAGACTACTGCGTGACACCTGTGGAAATTTATATAAAGAAATAAACCGGAGATATATCTTGGATTCAATTGTAAATGTTTTTTAATATGAAAATGTATTCCAAACACTTGCAGAGTTGCAGTGTCATTTATAATGATAGATACAACATAATTAAATGATTAAAGAGAGCGCGTTTATAAATGTCTTTATATGGAACCTGTCATCAGTTATGCAGCTATCCTTGCATGCCTGGAAGTTAGGTGCGGTCCACTTAGCTCCGGCGATATCTCCACCATAAACAACCTTTTTGGGGACATTGCAGTCATCTGCAGCCGCCAGAGCAACCAGAGTAGCACAGAATACAACGAACAACTTCATCTAAAATCAGTTGGACAATAAATAAATCATAGAATCAATTGACTTGACTTTAAACCCGCCACAACTTACTGTTGTATTGGCTATAAATTGGTTAGCCAATTCCTAGATAATTCAGTTTAGTTAAAAATACGATTAAACGACTAAAGCACATAATATAGTCGTAATCTCAAAGATGAAAAAGGGATAACTTACTACTTGAGATAGTAACGATAATAGTACAATAACCAGAACTTGATAAATCTAAGCTTACTAATCTCAACTCATTAAAGCTACCAGACGAATACTGAGTAACCTTAACTTATTCTCCGTGATCTAAAATAAAATTCCATCTATCCAGGCCGACCAGAACCAAACCATAACAAGTTCTGCTCCAAATCACATCATACCTCATATATATAATGTAATATATTACTGTGTGTGTGGTTTGCATCTCGTCTCCCTGCAAAACTATCAAGTCCACGATATGCTACACCTTGATCTTTTGTCTTTTCACGTCCCCTTGCTTTCCCTTGTAGTAGCTTTTGTTAATTATGATTCTTTTCGCGTCCTCTTGCGTTAACCCTTTTGTAGCCTTTGTTGAAAAACTCATCACTATTCCAATTACATCTCCACTCTATTTAGTATTTACTCTAGTCGCCGGAAGGTGTCGAGAGTGCACTTGGCTCTGTAAAATTTTGTCCCCTCAAACAAGTTTTAAATTAAGTAAGTAGGTCATTGGTAATGGGCCATTACCAATGACCTACTAATGACCTACTAAGTACAAGTACTAATGCAATGGTACCTCTAAACTAATCACTTATGTTTCATATTAGTCGCATAAGTGGGAAATTTATACTTCAGCATCTAAATTCTAAAGGGCTTAGAAGCTTGAAGATCGGGCTTAATATGACCACATTATCCATGTTTATTCTAACACTATGAAGATTCTGTAGGGCGTAGGCCCCAATTTCTCACTTTTGAAGGAAAAATGAGATATAATGATTTTCACTGAGGTGCAAAAATACTGGTCATGAGCTAGATCTGCTAGAATCTAGGTGTAGTTGAGTTCGCACTTTGATGTCTACATTGTTTGTCGACATAGGGTCCTTTTTAAGACATAACAAACCAGAGCCATTAAGTTATGCAACTTCTATTGGTATTCCTGGTCCTAGAGGGCGAAATCATTAAATTGCCCTCAGGCGCACATATGTTATTTTTGCATCTCATCTCCTGAGAGTTGAAACTTTGAAAGGACTATTAGTTTAGCTTAAAATTACTGCAATGGCCATATTAATATACAAGCTATGAAGCAACATACGGCCATTTTAATTTACAAGCTGTGAGGCAACATAAAATCCACATAGCTTAGTTTTCAAGATATTCATAAAAATTTGTTTTGTGCCTCAGCGAATCCCAAAATAGCACTGGGTACAGGTATTATATCTGAATGCAGCTAAATTTTCAACATGACTATTGACCATATTTTAATATTTACATGTACAGGTTCAGTAGCATGGCTGATTCCCTAAAGTGTAAAGATGTTTATATTTTGCAGAAAAAGTCTAAACTCTATTTGCCTTCTCTCTAGCTCTCTCGGTGTCCTTGATGTAATCCCAGGATTTAATTACTAGATAATTACCATTATTTAAACAATTGCTCTGTTTTCTATTGTTTTTACACACAATGTGCTTTTGTTATTACACGCATTTAGCTACAAACAATAATTGTAGCAGAATTATTATAATTACTGTCACCAGGTCTTTGTGTGTTTAATTTCAATTTGCAACAAATAAAAATCTTAAATTCGGAGCAAAATTATGGTACTCTTATTAACAATCAACAGTCGTGACAACTGAACCTACTTATAGTAGTAAACAAAATTGCCACTCAAATAAATTAGTAAGTATAAATTTAGTAAGTTCCACTATTTCAGTCCTCAAATCATTCACATCCTAACATTCCTTGACGGAAGTGTACCACTTCTTCCTCTCTTCCTCGTGCTCTACTCCGCTAGCCAAATAACACTCAGAAATTTCTCCTCTCCTCCGTCTACAACTTATCCCCGTGCAGTTAGCATCCTCAAAACAGGCCTCGTTAGCCTCATCGTGGCTCATCTTGTCGCTGTACACCCCAGTTAACCTCACATTGTCATACAGAACCCAGCAGTGAGCTCCGTTCAGAAGTTCACAGTCATGAGTTGAAGTGGAACCAGCAGGAGAAACGTACCCATCCCCACATGGTTTACAGTGAGCAGCACCAGTCTCGTCGTTGTAGGTATCAGCAAGACAGGTTTCACAAGATCCCTGGTTGACTCCGTTGAAGGTACCAATAGGGCACTCCGAGCAGGATGAGGAGCTTGCTCTAGAGAAGTGTCCGGGAGGGCAGGCAGTGCAGCTGCTAGCTCCGTGGGCACTGTATGTGTTGTGAGGGCAGCTGCTGCAGGCCCGGGCAGAGGACTTGTACTGTCCTGCTGGGCAGGGACCCTCCTGGTTGATGCAGGGTTGGAAGGCGGCGGTGCACCATGCACAGCCAATACGTCCCCAGTGTGAGTTGTCTTTCAAGAAGCACTTTCCCTCAAGGAAACCCCAGTGGTAGTATACTACTCCCTCACACCTGCGAAAGTTTAAATTAAGTATAAAACCGGAGGCAAATATTAATTTGTAAAGAATTTCGCGGAGGGTTTCAATCATGAAATTTTAGTCTATTTAAAATATTTGCAATGTCAATGTCATATTTAAATGTCATTATAAAACAAAAATAATTACATTTAATTACAAGAATTATTGCTACTATGTCTATGTTTCAAACCTGTCGTCACCTCTGCAGCGATCCTTGCAATCCTGGAAGCTATTTGCATAAAAGGAGTAAATATCTCCAAACCAAACATCCGTGCCGGCAACATTACAATCGTCAGCAGCAGCCAGACCAGCTAGGGAAACACAAAATACCACGAACAGCTTCATCTTGAATCAGTAGAACAATGAATCAAATATAGACATCGATTGACTTTTATAGGTATTTAGTTCCTCGCCACTCCCTCTACTGTTACTAAGGACTTATAATTTTGATCTTGGACACACCTTCACAGTTTGTCTAAATTCGTGGAATTCCCGTCTGAATGGCAGGTAAAAAGACACAACGTTGTGTGAGGTTTTTGGTGGTAGTTATTGTCCTCGTATCACTTACAAATAACCTCCAGTTATCGTCCTGAATCTTTCCGAGACCTGTCACAAGTTTTGTTAAATATCGGGCAATGTTTGAGCCTATGCCACCATTTCATGATGCGGTGATAGATCCCCACTCTCCAGTGCATTCACTATAGTTTGTATTCAACTTCCAATAAAACTTGACAGTTTAACTTATTTGGTTGAGTTGTAGACTGAACGGCGGATAAACAGACAATGTTAGATGAGGCAGTTTCGGATGGTAGTAGTAATTGTTCATATTGCATCCAAACGTGAACTAAAGTAATAATCCTTAACTAATTTCTTTTCAAAACTTGGCACAAATTTTGGTAAACACCACGCACAACTTTTGAGGTGATGCCACCACTTCATGTTGTCACAATAGTTGCCGGGTGAACTCACTACAGCTCGGGCTTTAGCAAGACATTAGCCTGTTTTGAAGCTTATGTTGTAAACTCCGCTATTTCTAGAATAGGAGGGGTCTGGGGTGGGAGGGTTGATACCCTCTGAAATCAACAATTCGACGGGTATTTTACTTAAATTTCGTAAACGAATCTCTCTGCTACCTATAATACCCCAGTACCCACGTAACGCAGGACATTCTTCGATTCACAGCTTATCACACAGACATTATTACTAACATGAAATGAGAATAATCAATCCATCTTTAGAAAAAAATCTAGCCCCAAAGTTTTTAAAGAATCTCATATAATATTGTCCATTTACAAGAGTTTTCTCCTCCCTCAGCTTCCCCGTAATATTCATAGTTCATACTAATAAATTACGGGTTTCTTGATCTTGATACGAAATGCTCTATTATGGTAGATATCTCACACGCTCCTTAAATTGATGTTCAATTAATCCCGTTTTCACACAATAACGTAATTAACCCCATTTAACCGACTAAATCTTCTCAGGGTAAGAAATACACCAGTCAGATATTGAGTAACCTGCTGAAGAGGCAAATAGGGACCCGATACCCGACTGTTGAGTACATCTTGTCCCAGAAAAAGACTGAAAACGAGTCAAGCTTTAACGACATATTAGATGAACTTATTCAAGGGTAAGCAGGGCGGACAGCTAGCTGATGATAATTATAATCGTAGATAAATTAAAGTAGATGTATGTATATGATGAGATATCGAACATTATTAAACGGCACGTGGGCACGAATGGTGATTATTTCTGATAACTCATTCCCATGAGTGTGGTTAATGTTATTGTAGTCTTCCTTCGACTCTACAGTTATAACGCGCTAACTTTGAAATAAAAGTTCTTTGGTTTTATTACCTTCATTGACTTCTCAAATTTGTTGCTGGCACCAACGAGCTTCATTCGTAATAATTATCCAACCCGAAAGATAATATGTTGAGTTAGACTGTGAATTAAATTGAAGTTTAATCTGGCTACTCTATCACGAATGAAGATGTGTTTCAAATATCATAAATATTGAATGCGCTATCAAATGTTATTCAACGGCTGCTATAACCACATTAGTGGAGAACATCCCAGAAAGTTCAAAAATACAGTTTTTACTGATGTCAGTCAGTAACGAGATCATATTATATGCTACAGGATAGTAATTAAACCTTATTTAGCAATCTGGATAACTCTTTACTTCTTTAAAAGTATTGATAACAGTGACATCCTAGTGTATTTCCATCGACCAGAATATCTAGAATTAGTGTTCTATTCTGAGAGTTGCTCACTAAATATATATATTTCAATGTGTCCTTCATCTGTCCATAAACAAAACCATGGACAGAAACACGATATGGATGTAATTCAGAGATTGTAGCTATTGCACCGAAATACAATACCATGATTTTAATTGGATCTCCTTTTAATATCACACATTCCTGAGTTCCTCACTAGATCATATTTCCAAATCATTTATCAGGATCGAGATATCAATATAGATCACTATTCAGTATTAATAGTTCATGTCTTTAATTCGTTAGCATAATAATAATATATAATATGATGAGTAGAAGTTTACTTAAGATCGTGATGTAATTGAGCGCAAAGAGCATGACATACTGATTTGTTTAAAAAAAGTTTACGGTCTCGTAATTTTATTATAGGTGACCTACTAGTGACTAGTGTATATTATTATGTAATTCATATTACATTCTATTCACTAGAGCATTATATTCACTGATTATTCATTTGTCAGAAATGCATAATTATGCTTCTGTTACTTGTTAGATTATAAAGGTATCATTAGTTAACTTGTCATTAAGAAATTTTGAGTACATACTTTCATTATATAAAACTCACTTACATGATATAAACTTACATGATCAATGATGTAAGCTTTGTTTTATGAAAAATGCCATTTAAGGTATTTGTGTTTATTTTTAAAACATACCTCATATACCTATACCCACATGTTCTATGTAGACATTTAATGCAGGATATTCAACATTTCCTCTTGTTTATTGCATATATTCTAATAAATCTCTGTAGTTATCTCTCATATCTATTAAGTACTGTTGGAATTATTTCTCATATCTGTAATTATATCTCATATCTATTAGGTAATGTTGGAATTATCTCTCATATCTGTAATTATATCTCATATCTATTAGGTAATGTTGGAATTATCTCTCATATCTGTAATTATCTCTCATATCTATTAAATACTGCTGGAATTATCTCTCATATCTGTAATTATCTCTCATATCTATTAAATGCTGTTGGAATTATCTCTCATATCTGTAATTATCTCTCATATCTATTAAATGCTGTTGGAATTATCTCTCATATCTGTAATTATCTCTCATATCTATTAAATATTGTTGGAATTATCTCTCATATCTGTAATTATCTCTCATATCTATTAAGTACTGTTGGAATTATCTCTCATATCTGTAATTATCTCTCCTATCTATAAAATATTGTTGGAATTATCTCTCATATCTGTAATTATCTCTCATATCTATTAAATACTGTTGGAATTATCTCTCATATCTGTAATTATCTCTCATATCTATTAAATACTGTTGGAATTATCTCTTATATCTGTAATTATCTCTCATATCTATTAAATGCTGTTGGAATTATCTCTCATATCTGTAATTATCTCTCATATCTATTAAATATTGTTGGAATTATCTCTCATATCTGTAATTATCTCTCATATCTATTAAGTACTGTTGGAATTATCTCTCATATCTGTAATTATCTCTCCTATCTATAAAATATTGTTGGAATTATCTCTCATATCTGTAATTATCTCTCATATCTATTAAATACTGTTGGAATTATCTCTCATTACATCTGTAATTATCTCTCATATCTATTAAATACTGTTGGAATTATCTCTCATATCTGTAATTATCTCTCATATCTATTAAATACTGTTGGAATTATCTCTCATATCTGTAATTATCTCTCATATCTATTAAATACTGTTGGAATTATCTCTCATATCTGTAATTATCTCTCATATCTATTAAATACTGTTGGAATTATCTCTCATATCTGTAATTATCTCTCATATCTATTAAATACTGTTGGAATTATCTCTCATATCTGTAATTATCTCTCATATCTATTAAGTACTGTTGGAATTCTCCAAATTAACTGACATCCCAACTCATGTAGCCTAGTTATAGTAAATATCTCACCATATTAACCATATTTATTGTTCAATCATAATATTTATGACAAATATTCCGGGAATATTATTCCCCATATTATTCCCTCAACTATTTGCATTGTAAATACCCCACACGCTTCCAGGTACGATCACCAAGAAATTGCTCTACATTCCGGGCTGGTGCTCAGAGAATGTACGAAACACGATTCCATTGCCTCCATAGTTCTCTCCGATCAGAAATTCTTTGATTTCTTTGTTTACGTTGAAGTCTCTACGTTTGACATCGCCTCTGATGCTTTTGTCACATTTAAGGTAGTAAAAATAAAACCCTCAATTGATTCAAAGCTTTGGTGGATTGGTTTAATCATAAAAATCGTATCTAAAAAGTTTTGCTTGACTACATATTATGAAATACAATAATATGATTCATCTCTTTTCAGGATTTGCTAACTGTACATAAGAACTCGGCAGCTCAGTTTCTAGAAAAGAATTATGATAGATTTTTCACTGATTACAAGAAACTGTTAAAGTCAGAGAACTACGTTACGCGTAGACAGTCTCTAAAGGTACCTTGATTCTTGTATAATATCCAAACAACATTTAATATTTGAATTTTGAAATTTCACCTTCATTTTCATCTACAAAACCAAATTAAGGGTTGTTTAAAACCACACAAAGTGCATGGTTTACTTCCTTCATGTGCTCAAAGTTGATAAGTATAAATTCTTGAGATTTTTGAAATTCTTGAAACTCCTAAAACATATGAATAAGTGAGTGTAGTCACGTTTTGAGGCTGTGTGGTAAATAAAAACCACAGAAATATGTCGATTTCTGTAGAAAATGAAAATGTTCTTATTGTGTGTGATGTGATGTTTTAAATGATTTATGAATGTTTCATCGATGCTTAAATCCACTAACTTAAATATTAGATATTACAATATTTTACAATTGCGGTCGCATTATGACGCATTACAAAGTGAAATTTCCCTCCTCCAACGGAAACATCTCCAAGGAATGTTTATGAACAACCCAGCGCATATTTATACCGCTTTATGATTACTCACAAATATGCATATGTTACAGTTACTGGGTGAATTGTTACTCGATCGGCACAACTATTTGACGATGGACAGATATATTGGAAGTGCTGATAATCTCAAGCTAATGATGACTATGTTGGCGGATGGCAGCCGAAGTATTGCCTATGAAGCCTTTCACGTTTTTAAAGTAAGATAATGCGCGGCGCGTGCTATTACTGGTTTTGAAAGATTTCCTGTGATCTAAGGACTATCTGCCATTGCTACCTGTTCGACGCGCACGAACGCGACGAACGTTTCATTTACGATTAAATTAACTAGCTTCTGATCTCAGCCATGCTGAGCGGTTATATCGCTATCGTAAGACGTAACTGACTATTTTTTCTAAATTCTGGTATGTTCCCCGGTTTTAACTCCTCACAATGAATGATATAATCCCTATATTGATAGGGAAAACGGATATTTGTAATTGTGTTGGTTGTTGATCAATGATGAGGAAATTTGATACTTGGATAAATATCACTTGTTGGTAACAGCGCTCCTGTGTGAATGGTCTATTCACCTGATTTGAATTTGATAAAATACAGCAATGAAATGTGCTTGTTTGACAGATACTTTGAGATTAATTTGAATTACCTTTCAGATCTTCGTCGCGAACCCCAACAAGAAAAAGGAGGTTCTAGACATTCTTCTTAAAAATAAAGAAAGACTTATTGACTTCCTATCTAAATTCCAAAGCGATAGGAAAGGTAAGTAGTTTCTTTTGTCAGTGTTATTCTGATGAGACTAGTTTATTATAGGCAAACATTTAGTAGCAAGTGTCTGATATGATGATGGGTTTGTCTCAAGTCCAAAATTTAAAAACCTTGATCGTGTGTTTTAGATCATACATCTACATGCTCTTTCATTGCTTAATACTTAAACTCACGTTTCTCAATTCACAGAAGAAGAGCAATTTCACGAAGAGCGGGAGTACCTTATCAAACAAGTGAAATCCTTACAGCGGCCCGTGGAACCGAGCCCTGCGGCTGCAAACGCCCCGGAACAATAGTCCATTTGTACATAATTAGATATATTATATAGTGCTTGATTTGCTCTTACCACCCTTTTAAATGTGTTTTGGAAGATCGTTTGTATATCAATAGCAAGGATCACCAATATTGGATCATGCAGTTTTTTCAATGAAATCTTAAGCGTTGAGGTACTGAAGATTATCACCTCTTTCAATTAGGCTTGATCGCCACACACATTCTTTATTATGTTAGTTAATAAACTAAGTTACAAAAGGTTGAGCCTCTAAAAGTCTAAAGTGGTGTAACACCATTTTTGCTTAACAATAGTGAATAGTTCCAATATCCAACGTAATTGGGAAACTCGAAACGAGTCAATCAAACGCACGAATTTCAGTCGCAAATGGTTCACCTTTAATAATAGGCATCATAAATTATGATGACCATTGCTGTCGTCTGTTTACCAATCTAAATAATGAAACTTGCCATTTTTCATCCCTTTTAAAATTTCTATTAAGCTGGTTCATGCTGACCGAAATGCGGTACGATTAAAACTTTGATTATGTTCATATCAATCAAGAAGACCAATTTTCGCACCTTTTTGAAGTAAAGTATGTTTTGGAATTTTTTAGTTGTGAATACGTTGCATAGCACTATACTGGGATGCAAACTGTGGCTCTTGCTAACGCCAATCCGATCATGGACTGGAATTTTATTAACGACTATCTTGATCTTAGGGTGTGCTGGAATTATTGTTGGTCGGAATGTTAAATTCGAAGATTGGGTATTTAAAGAATTGGGGTCCATGAAGTTCACATGCCAGTCGTGTGTTAGGTTTTGTCAGATTGGGGTTGATCGTTAAAACGGGGACGTTATGTTAGTTCTACAGTTTATATCTGCCATGTAAAATTATTTTATGCTTAATATTTTTGGTTCATCTAAATTCACTGCGTTATCTTGAGTTTTTCTATATATATTCAGTAAATTTAATTTACTTGAAATGCCACCTAGTTCTTAGTACTCATTAAAAACGGCTTATTACTCGTTGAAAAACGGCTATATAACTAAAAATTAATGTTTTACTTAACTGTTCAATAGAATGTGGTACGGTGTGTTGATAGCGTTGTTACTGGAAGTGGTTGTCTCCCAACATGGAGAGTTCATCCTGGGTGTGGAGCACAAGTTTGGTATGTGTTATTTTTTTAAATACTGTGCATTCATTATTTTAAGCTGTGAGATATCAGTGCTCTTTCTAAATACTCCAGATTTTGTTATTTTTTTAGTTACCCCTACTGTTTTGACGCCACCTAGATATTAACTTGTAATTTCTGCAATAAGTCTGAAATCAAAAAAGAACTGACCCCAATCACAAATCTAACAGGCGTTGACGGGGAGTGGATAAGAAGAGCAAACGTAATTCTACCGTCAATAAAACAAAGCAGTCTCCCTGCTCATAACATTCCTCAGTTCATCCCGGTAAGCGTGATTAGTGTTGATTCCGTTAAATGGTGATTTAACATAATGAAATAATGAAGTAGTTGCCATATAAATATCTCAAATTTGATCGCTCATATGTTTTTACAAAATGTGTACATATTTCGTTATGTTCAGATATCTGCTAACGAAAGAGTGGAGGATTTAAAAAGTATAGGCGATAAAAACGACACCCTCTATTACATCAGGGTGCCACACAAGGTAAACTGCATATTCATGGAGCATCGGCTCACTCCAGTCTTCATTCCACAGTAACAAATTCCACAAAGTTTTCCGAAACTTTCGCATCATCGAATATATCCCCTGATTTACAGTTACCCACAGTAACGTATCACATTTTGACGGTGAGTTTATACTTGCAGGCAGTAGAAGAAGGTGAGAAGCTGGATACAAACAGTTACGTAGGTCTAGTGGTTCGCGCTTGCAGTCTCATAGAGTCGGACCTGACTCACAGTCTTAACATCCACATGGACAGCACAGGTTTGTCGTAAAAACATTGTTACGAAAATACTTTATTTAATTTAAATAACCTCATGATTTTGTGTACGATTTTGCCGATTGATATATTTTGGAAGTATTACGATTATTCCGTGTGCAATCCTTTGAGAACAGTAAGCGCGTTGATATTGGATTGTTGTGTTGTTTGTGTTGACATGATGTTTAAGTTGATTGAGGGTTGAACGTGTTAGAGTTTAGTTTAAGGTTTATTCTCACATGTTAGTAAATTCCTATCCCATCAAAAAGAATGAATCTCTTCCAACGTAATGAACCTACGTTTAGGACCACTATCGGGTTGTAAAAGTTTACTACTTAAAAGCTGCCAATATGTCTTTCGGATTTTGTGGGAATTTTCTACTTGGCTTATCTACCGCTAATTTAATTTATTTCAGAAGATAAATAAAACAAATTTTAAACAAAAATTAAACAAATCATTAAACCTGAACAGATGCAGAAACAACTATTCCAACACACCAATGACGCCACTGGTAGCGCCCCTGAATCACATCACAGTTCTCAACCACCATCTTATAAATATGGTCCTTTGCCTCCTCGCTCAATCTCCCATACTCTGCTTGCAACGAGAAGTCTATCTTGTAGTTCCTCCCCGGAGTGTCAACTCTCTGAACAAAGTCGTCTACGTCCTCGTAGGAGCGCTCTCGAATGGTTGATATAATGAGGCCGGAGGGGTCCTCCTCCAACTGAGATATTATCTTCTCTGCGGTCAAAGAATGGTCTCCGATACATTTGCTTGGAGAAAAGATCTTTGGGTCACTTCTATCCATCAAGTAAGAGAATATCGCTGCTGTAGCACCTTCTCCTTGGTTGAAAATGAGCATCTTCCCTCCTGGTTTAAGGAATTTAGTGGCATAAAGGACAGCTCTGTGTGGGTCCTCAAAACCGTACAGACTGTGAGCAAACAGGATGAAATCAAACTTATCACACTTGCTTTCCTCAAACTGGAACTCTGTGTTGAAGAATGATGAGCTGACATTATGCTCCGTCCCTAGACTCCCCAGCGTGGAATGTAGTTCACTCACGTGCTCGGCGTTTGGCTCAACAACGTAAATGTATTCTATCTTGAGTCCATGTTCCCGTACAAGCTTCTCCTCAAAGTTCCCTCTCCCTGCTCCCACGCTTAGCATTTTAACTGGGTTCTCGTTGAATTTGTTTTCGATTATAAATTCATTCGCTATGCGGGCCATGACTTCGTACTCTTCTGAGACGTCCTCGAAGACGGACCAATCGCGAGCGTATTCCTCTTCGGTCAGTGGGGGTGTAGTTTCCAAATTAATTTCAGAGTTGCTCATCCTTAAATGATTGACAGTTTTGGTTTATTAATTGTATGATATATAAAGCAAGGAAACTACAGTTTATCATGGTGAAAACGGTCATTAAAACGGCTCTGGCACAAGGTACAATCATAATCCATAATAAGAAATGTGTGGACGTATACAATATGATATAAATTTAATGAGGCAAACGCACAAAGATACCACACGCAGATACAAAGCACTCTTAATTTAACTACGATACCAAAATACGGAAAACGCTACAAACCTTGACGAAAACAAAACGCAGGGGTGTAGGAATGATTTTCTTCGTGAGGGGGCCAAAATCTTAGAGTTTTTCAAATTTAGCACGCGCTTTGGCCACAGCCTGAATTTCAAAAACAGCAAAACGTGTAAAAGGCCTAGCTGAGCAATTTGGCAATAGAGATCATTTTCAAACACAGTTTCAAGAACGATGCATATTAGGGCCTGCAAACAGCTCTTGCGAAATAAGTGTAGTTCGAAAAAGGGATGCATATTGTATTCTCTCGAAAAAAATGTCAGGAAATTTGCTTCCAGAATTGAAATCTAGCAATGTGAAATGATAAATAAATAAACAAAGATTTTGTTGTGCCAATTTAAGGGTCAAAGGAAAAGTCCAGCAAATTTTGAAAAATATGCTTACAGTAATAGGTCTCACTCTCAAAGAGGGTGCAACATGCAAGGAGGGAGAATCTGGAACAATTTTTGGAAAAGGAATAAATTCTAGCAATGAGGTAATTTGAACTACAAGGGGCAAACTGTGTCCTGCTAATTTACTCCCACGGCATAAAAAACTTATCGGTAATGTTATCTGAATTTTATAATCGCTAGGCTTCTGAACTTCTGATAAATCCTGACATGTAATATATTTTGTTTTAAAAACCCGAGGGCCACCCATAAGGGCTTTGAAACCGGTTTATTGAATACGATATAATATACAAATAAACTGTAATAATATCGTAACATTCATGTCGATACTAACTGAAATAATATAATCTGTAGGTAAAATAATAATACTGTCACATAATTAAGATATATGATATAATAAAATAAATGTCTCTTTTATTTCCACACTAATTCTCACACCAAGCTTTAATTCACACACCAAAACTTTAAATTTTATCAAATTACAAATGTCTTAATATGTACGTCTCTTATCTTTAGTTAAAAAGTCAGGGGTGCAGCCGTTGTACTTCAATTAAAATAATTGATCACGCCGGAACACGATGTTATTTTATCAAAATCAGCTACCCGTGAGAACTGGAACAACCAAAACCAGTTGACCAAGATAAAAACTATAAATAACCTGTTTCCTCCAAATTACTGAGAAGTAGGCCCTCTCGCTACAGTTAATCTGTATTGATTTGTCGAGTGTCCAGCTGATTGGGTAATACCCGATGGGTATCCTACTTACTAATACTATGTACCATAGTGCATTCAAAGCATGTTTAGATATCTGAGTTAGGAGAAGTGTCAGGAAAGCACCTGGCTGGTTGTAGAGAGAGAAGTTCAGCGATATTAAAGAAGCATTATAACGTTTAATAATTACCATTCTACCATCTTGGATATATTTTAATGATTCGAAACATCTAAGCGGCTAAATATAATCAGCATATTTTATTGCTTTCAGCATGATGATACCTAATTTTAGCGTCATCAAGATTTTACCTATTGTCTGGCACGAAGGTTGCTTGTCCCAGTCCCAGGTCCCATCCTCCAGACATGTGATAGTGTGAGAGCCAGTGTTCACGTGACCAGATCTACACTTTACTTCCAGGGTACTTCCAGGGATCGGAGGATACTCAGGGTCAAGGTCCGTGTTTGAAAACGTTGGAGTGTCGCATGTTACTGAAAGAATGTGAATTAGAATAAGGGAAATTCCAGAGTTTGACTTCCCTTTTTTTTACAGTTTTACCTGTTTGACTTCCCTTTTTAAGTACAAGAACAGGAGCTTCTACTATACAATAGAAAAATGTTCCCATCCCTAATACAGAACCTTTTTCATTTTACCTGATGATCTGTAGAAGATTGTTGGTGAAGGAGGACTGCCACTCTTGAACATAAGATAAGATGAATCTCTGGTGAAGGCAGCCTGACATATATCTGAGAAACTTGTGTACTCAAAGCTCCAAACTTCAACTTTGTTACATTCTATCTTCAGATTAGTGGGTGTTTTGAATATGATCCAAGTTCTGTAGAAATGAGCTGGAACGTTGGTCATTGTGAAGCCGTCTTCTCCGTACCCACCATTACAATCTGGGCTTAACCAGATACTGAACTGGTTAAACTTGAATGACATCGAGAAAACCATTTCTCTTGATGCGTCAGAGAACTTAATCCAGAGCTGAGAGTTGTCGTTATCAGCCCAAGTTCTAAGTTGAAGTGGAGTTGTTTCAATGTCAAAGTGAACGACTTCTGTTAATTTAGCTGCTTTCCAATCTGAGATGTGAATAAATTAAACATCAGGGATTGATTGGAAATCTAATATAGTTTGAGTATAATAATGGGACAATAAATAAGTTTTCTGATCTTAAAGAGTTCATCTTAAAGTTAATCGTAGTTTTACCTGATGCTCTGTACTGCTCAGCAGCTTGTCCGCTGTTATCCACAAAGAACATCTGAATAGAGGGTTGGTTGAACGCTGTGCATT